AAAAAAAAAAAAAAAAAAAGAATGCATTTTCTCGGGTAGCACCTGTGGCTCAGTGAGTCGGGCACTGGCCCCATATACCCAGGGTGATGGGTTCAAACCCAGCCCGGCCAAACTGCAACAAAAAAATAGCCAGGCGTTGAGCCATGCCTGTGGCTCAAGAAGTGGGCACAGGCCCCATATGCCGGAGGTGGCAGGTTCAAGCCTGGCCCCAGCCAAAAACTGCAAAAAAAAAAAAAAAAAAAAAAAAATAGCTGGGCATTGTGGTGGGTATCTGTAGTCCCAGCTACTCAGGAGGTTGAGGCAAGAGAATCGCCCAAGTCCAAGAGCTGGAGGTTGCTGTGAGCTGTGATGCCACAGCACTCTACCAAGGGCAACAAAGTGAGACTCTGTCTCTGAAAAAAAAGAAAAAGAATGCATTTTCTCAAACTATTTAAACATTAAGGAAGGCCAGATGCAATGGCTCACGCCTGTAATCCTAACACTTGGGAGGCTGAGTCAGGTGGATTGCCTGAGGTGGCAGGTTCAAGACCAGCCCAAGCAAGAGTGAAACCCCATCTGTAAAAAATAGCCAGGTGTTGTGGTGGGCACCTATAATCTCAGCTACTCGGGAGACTGAAAGAAGAGATTCGCTTGAGCCCAAGTGTTTGAGATTGCTGTGAGCTGTGACACCACCACCCTCTACTGAGGGCCACAAAGTGAGACTGTGTCTTCAAAAATAAATAAATAAATAAATATAAAATAAAAATAAACTCAAGGAAGTTGTAATGATCTCAGGAATTTGGTATGGGAAGATTCTCACCCCATCCAACTTGCCTAGACAGACTAAATGAGCCTAGACATCTTTAATTTTAATTCTTAAAGAATTGTATGGCTCAGCGCCTGTGGCTCAAGGGGCTAAGATGCCAGCCACATATACCTAAGGTGGTGGGTTCGAATCCAGCCCGGGCCTATCAAACAACAACGTCGGCTGCAACCAAAAAATAGCCGGGCATCGTGGCGGGTGCCTGTGGTCCCAGCTACTTGGGAGGCTGAGGCAAAGGACTTGCTTGAGCCCAGGAGTTGGAGGTTACTATGAGCTGTGATGCCAGGGCACTCTACCCAGGGTGACAGCTTGAGGCTCTGTCTCCAAAAAAAAAAAAAAAAGAATTGTACATTTGGTAGCTGAGTGCGGTGGCTCACACCTATAATCCTAGCACTCTGGGAGACGAAGGTGGATGGACTGCCTGAGCTCAGGAGTTTAAGATCAGCCTGAACAAGAGTGAGACCCCCATCTCTAAAAAAAAATACCTGGGCATATGGCAGGCTCCTATAGTCCCAGCTACTTGTGAAGCTGAGGCAAGAGGATCTCTTGAGCCCAAGAGTTTGAGGCTGTTGTGAGCATAACACCCCAGCACTCTACCAAGGATGACAAAGTGAGACTCTGTCTCAAAAAAAAAAAGAATTATACATCTGTATAGTTGATAACTTCAGGAAATGGTTGGTTTTATAACAATTTCTGTTCATTGCTAAAATCTCTGACTTTTAACTGTAGAAGTTTTTGGAAGAAAGTAGATGTTATACATTTACATTTCCTTGACCTGCATATTAATTTTATCCTTTCTTTTGCTCCTAATTAGGTTCTATCATAATGAATGGATCTAGTGTGGCAAATACATCACCCAGTGTAAAATCCAAAGAAGACCAAGGGTTAAATGGGCACGATGAGAAGGAAAACCCATTTGCAGAGTACATGTGGATGGAAAATGAAGAGGATTTCAACAGACAGGTAAAGAAAGAAGTAAAAAGTTAATGATACATGTAACTTAATAGCTATAATTTACTGTAAGTCTATTACAAAAGAAATTGGTACAGTGGCTTTAGAATAACTCAAAAATATATGGAGGCCTCATCTGGGGTAATAAGGAAAAGTCCTCAGCTAGTAAGAGACCAGAGTGATAGGACATGGAGGAAGATACTGATATCTTTATATCATAATGATTAAAAGAGGACACAAACAGAGATTAATCAGTTGACGGGTGAAAATCCTCACATGATGAGCCCATGTATAAACACATAGATTTGCCTGGACCTCTCACCCTACATTATACAATATGCTCTTTAAGTATAGTTCATATTACACAGTAACTGCTACAGAGAAGCCCTGTTCTTAGCCTCATTCTGGATAGATTTGTTTATTGGATTTGCCTATGTGACTATAAACCACTCTAGCAAATTCCTGGAATTTAAATCAAATAGGACTCTCCCAGTCCCAGAGGATTGACTTAAAGCCTTTGTATCAAACCAAGGTGGCTAAGCTCCTTTATCCTGCCTTGATTCCATCTTTAATCCTAGGAACCATATAATGATCAATGTGAAACTAATTGCTTAAACTGTGGAGCAATAAAAAACAGAACGGCAATGAGGTTCTTTTTCTATACTTGGTGACTTGTTGCTTTTATTTGCTTGTAGGAAATGTGAAACTCTGCATTTCATTTTGAAAATAAATGCAGGCATAAAAGAAGTTTAAGAATTCTCAGTGAAGATATATTTGCCATGGGATTTTAGAAAGGTTGTTACTTGGCTCTTGTGTTGACCTCTGTTCCTCTCTGCCTTTAGTTAGCCTCTGAATGAAAAATACATTGTTGAGAGCATAAAGAAAGTTTACTAGCTTTGCCAATACTCACTAACATGCTCTGAACCCCACTGATCAGGATTGTACTGGGACTATTAGGAGGCTTGTATCTGACCTGTGGGGTCAGTTGTAATCTCCTATATGTAGGAGCTTATCAAACTAAGACAGGGTGCATGGTAAAATGCTGGAAAGCTAAGGGCTTGCAGAAACATACATACACCACACACATACACAGTCTTTGAGGGAAGACTGTTAAGAAGCTTTAAAAGTTATAATAACTTGTTTCAGGAGAGCTAGGAAAGCAATGACAGCTATATCCTTGGAAGCTTCTAATACTGCAGCAAATAACATGCCCTAAGAAGACTGAGCAGGTGGCTTGGTGCCTGTAGCTCAACTGGCTAAGGTGCCAGCCACATACACCAGAGCTGGCGGGTTGGAATCCAGCCCAGGCCTGCCAAACAACAATGATAACTACAACCAAAAAATAGCCAGGCACTGTGGCGGGCGCCTGTAGTCCCAGCTACTTGGGAGGCTGAGGCAAGAGAATCGCTTAAGCCCAGGAGTTGGAGGTTGCTGTGAGCTGTGATGCCACGGCTTCAACCCAGGGCGAGAGCTTGAGGCTCTGTCTCAAAAAAAAAAAAAAAAAAGACTGAGCAGGTAAACAATCGTTCAATTTCCCTAACCCTAACATTTCACAGGTTGCCAGTGTTATTTTCAAACTGTTATGTTTGAAGTCAGGGGATTGGCTATTTTAGAGAAGCCTTTGTCCTTCCTTAACTGAGAAGCAGGATGGTTTAGGAGTCTAACATGATAGATGTTAGTTTTTCTGTATGCCTGTATGTTAACTGTTTCACCACAGTGAACTGTGCAGTCCTTATCACCATCAATCCCATGTCATTACTAGTATAGCTTTCATGGTAATTCAGAAAAGCTTTTACATATTATGCATCTTGAATTAGATCTTCAGGAAGAAGAAATTGGTTTCTAGCTAGAAACCCTGATAAAATATCATCTGACTTTCCAATAGAATATCTAAGAAAACACAGAATAAGATGGAAACAACTTACAACCTTAAAAACTGGAATTGACAGTCACTGGTCTGTTGAAAATATTTTCATTCACTCTGAGCCTGATAGAACTGAGTGAAATGTAGTTTTGAGGGGAAAAGGATTAAGTTCTAATAAAAGGCAGTGTCACTCATTGAAGATGTCAGAAGTATAACTCAGGTAAGAGGAGAAGTAATTCCTAACATACTAGTATAATTGAATGGTTTAGATCCCCCCACATCTACACACACAGAATTTTTAAGAGGGAAGAAAAAAGACTCGGTTGGGCTAAGGAAAAAAAGGGGTGGAGGGTGTAATCTAATTATATGCAGTTTGTAAGATACACTCTCACTGGCAATCCATGCTGTGGAAAAAGATGAACAATTCTTGACAAATTTTTAAATCTTTTTTTTTCAATTTTTAAATCTTATTGCTAACTAGGAGATTTTTATTTCTCTAAGCTTTTGTTATTTCCCATGGGGTGTTTAGTAAGTGAAAGTCAGGACAGATATATTCCAAAACGTCAATAATATTCATTCATGTGTGAGTGTTGAGATTAAGGGTAACTTTTTTCTTTCCACTTGATTTTCTTAGTTCTTTAATTCTTAGGCAAAGCAAATGGATTACTTCTACAATAAGGGGAAGAGGTTCACATGTAAAAGCCCTACAACAGAAATATCTGAAAATGCTTCGGAAAGGGAAAATAAGAATGCAGAAAGAAAACACCAGGAAAATTACAAAGCAGCCAATATCAATACTGGATAAAGTAGAAATTGAAGGGAAGAATATTAAATTTCATTTAGATAAACTCCACAATGAAAATTTTATATTTATGAATGTTTTTTCAAGTAATATAGCAATGAAGTATGTAAAGGAAAAAAGCTAAAACAGGGAAGAATCCCTATCCTAGTGGGAGACCTTAACTTATGATACATTTATTCATTCAGCAAATGTTTATTGAATCGGATAATGTACTAGATGCTTTGATTCAATAGGCAAGACATTATAAGAATATATTTATATAAAAGGATATTAATTAACATATATCAAGGATTATATGCTATGATAGCAAAGACATTACTTTTCAATACCACTGGGGTATTTATAATAATCCATTATCTATTTAGGGGATCAAAACCATAGTCACAAATGATATAAAAATTAGTGACATTGATAATATAAATATCCAATCTGAGGGATATGACCAAAGCTATATAGTAGTTGGTGGGATTACAGGAATGAGGCACTGTGCCCAGCTTGCAGATATAATTTTTCCTATACTACCGTATGTGAATGAAAATTATGTTCCAAGAAATGATGGAAAGAAATGTACTAGAAGATAAAGAGTACTTATATCTGAGTGGCAAAATTATATATAATGAATATTTTCCTTCTTTCTCTAAAGTCATATAATGGCAAGAATGTAAACTCTAAAAACTTTTTAGAAAGGCAGTTTGATCTTCTCCATCTGAAGTATGTTTCTCAGTAAAGTGAAATTTTACAGAAGTAAACTACAAGTATACCTTGGAGATATTGTGGTTTCAGTTCTAGACCACCACAATAAAGTGAATAACATGATAAAATGAATCACATAAATTTTCTGGTTTCCCAATACATATATTTTAAAAGTTACAATATACCGTTCTATAGTCTATTGTGTCTAATAGCACCCAATGCACATGTTTATTAAAAAGCCTTTAGTATTAAAAAAATGTTAACAATCATCTGAGCCTCAGCAAATCACAATCTTTTTGTTGGTGGAGGGTCTTGCCTTAATGTTGATGGTTGCTGACTGGTCAGGGTTGCTGAAGGCTAAAGTGGCTGTGGCGGCAATTTCTTGAAATAAGACAATAATGTAGTCAAACATGGTGGCACATGCCTGTAGTCCCAACTACTCAGGAGGGGATCACTTAAACCCAGGAGTTTGAATCATCATGAAATCCTGTCTCTCGGCTTGGCGCCTGTGGCTCAAGTGGCTAAGGTGCCAGCCATATACACCTAAGGTGGAGGGTTCGAATCCAGCCCGGGCCCGCCAAACAAC